ACATTCAAAAACACGTTTGAATTTTAATATATATTTATTGAATTACATAGGTGCCATTCTGTTCCACAACCTTTCCACCTTTTAAGGGATGTATGCACGTTATTTGTTTTCAACCACTTCGATATATTCAGACCTGTACCACCTACCAAAAATCGACATGGACTTTCCGGACAACCCAATGCTTGTTACTTCAACGATACTTGTTCCTCATTGCAGGAACGCGAGAGAACTGGCCACGAACTGTGGTGCAGCCTCAGACTGTTGCTCCTGTTGCTGCGACTTAACGCGAACGAAGAAAAGTACGCAGCCTTGGAGGCAGCTATTGGCTTCCAACCACGACCATGCGATCAACTGGTAAGTATCTACGTTGTCATCCATCAGATTTTCCGAAAATATCCACTAGGCCCAGGGAAAATTTGTATCGATCACATATCCTATGGTCTGGTGTAAATGTCCAACACCTCTAGCCTCTAACAGAGTTAAGGACCTTGCCTGCTAAACTATTCATCCTGCTGAAATCCACCAAGACCTCGGCGCTTGCTACTTTAATACAAATAAAATATGACAACTAGGTCAAATCCACACCGTCTCAAATGTTGTTTGATGTTTAAGGACTGGGAAGAGATCGCTGACGTGGCCCTGACGACTCTTCTCAAATCAGTCTCGAAAAAGCTCGGAACTACGGAAAGCAAGTCTTTGACGTGGGGCACAATCACACCGATCGCGTCGAGCAAGGAGCTGGCGAAGCTGAAGAAACGTCTGGTTCACGCGATAGAGCGGTTGGATGAGTCCAGGGGATCAAACATCGCCGAGGTTGAGCCCAGCGATGGTAATGATCTAGCTTCTGCTTAGACTGGAAGTATATCGTCGCTTTTTCTTGCGCTGTTTAAAAAGGATTGACTAAGTCGTCGACTTGGTTAAATTTGACTAACTCGAGTAACTCGGAATCAGACCGAGGAAAGAGTATTAAAATTTATAAAAATATTACGTAGATACCAAGGTTGATTATTACGGAAAGAAAATGACACGAAGATAGACGAGTACCTATGAAACTGCAGACAGCGCAATTATAACTAGTGAAATTATAGCTACAATGAATATTTTTTGAACAATGTAATTTTTCATGCTGAACATCGGTCAATTGCGAACGAGAGAAACATGGATATATTTACGTTTCTCAGAATGACTGAAAAATAACAAAATAAAACTGAACTTCTGTTCAGTCTTGAACCTGCTCTGGCGTTGAATAAACCGGAGATGCGGAAAACGTTGAGCGTATTCGATACGCGTCCGTTGGTCGATGACCGTCGCGGTACCATTTGCATGCAAATAAAAATAGTCCGAATGAGACCGTGTTCGGACTTATTTTCATCGGGAAAACCTCCCCAACCTATTAATAGTACTCTCACGGAGTACAATTCGAAACGTGAATGTATTAGGTTTTGTATCAGCAGCTGTCACGATGGAACGCATGCGGCTCGCTTTGAAGTTCGGTCAGGCGGTTTTGAATTCCATAGCTGCAAGTCGCTGGAATCGACTCGGTCACTCGAGCTGAATAAAGTTAGGGTGATCCTATTGGAAGCGTATTCAAGTGTATTCAAAAAAGAAAGGCATACGTCTAACTTATAATCGAATAAAGTTTTGTCTAACTCTGGCATTAACATGCATATTATTAGTATTCGCATGCATATTGTCACACGTTTGTTAATAATAGGAACCATTGAATTTTCCATGCATTCCTTTCTCACTCTCCTAGACGTATCCAAATCGACGACACTTAGAGAGGCTGAACTATTAGGTTATCCAGAAAGTTCGTGGCAATTTCTAAGAAAAATTCAAAGGCATATAATATATATATATACATGTACTTATTGAATTACATAGGTGCCATTTTGTTCCACAACCTTTCCACCTTTTAAGGAATGTATACATGTTATTTGTTTTCAACCATTTCGACATATTCAGACTTGTACCACCTACCAAAAATCGACATGGACTTTCCGGACAACCCAATAAAATAAATCGAATAACTCGAAAACAAACAGAGATAAGGAAGAATGTTAACTACAAAACTTTGTCAATTTCACACAAGGAATAACATAAAGTAACCTAAATTTCCATACAATTGCAGGTGGCGCCACTGCACCTTAGAAAGTTCACGATTTCTGAACTTTTCTCGCTGAAAGTTCATCGAGTCAAAGTCGAACCTACAATATTACTAAAAAATCAAAAGAAATGAACTGTTCAACCTCGAACCTGTTCTTTTGTCGAACAAAGCGCACACGCGAAACACGTCGAACCGTATTCAAGGCGCGTGCGTTGGTCGACGATCGACGCGGTAACTTTTACGTAAGGTACGCGTGTCTTCGACGCTCGGATAATTTTATTCCGCGATTCACGATCCACGATCCGCGATCCTCGATCCACGGCGTGCCGAGCCGACAAACCCGATGAAACGCGCGGCTCGAATCGCCGCGGTGATTCATTCTGGCGCCGCGATTCTGCTTTTCCGAGGTTAATTAATAGGAAGAACGCGGCCCGAGAGATCTGTCTTTGACTCGGGGCCAACAACAGTGCGCGCTTTGTTTGAAAATTTTCTTGTAGTCACGCTGGTGCCTCGATCCAGATAATGCGAGTGAAATATCGCGTGTGACGAAAAGTGGAGAGCTTTTCGTCGTCGCGACACCCGAGCAGCCCCTATTCGTTGAGGTGATGATAGAAGATTCGCGAGATTCGAATCCACGTGTAACTTTTTTTCGATGAATTAATACTGTTCATCGTGACGGAACAATTACCATTAGGGATACTCGACTAATTTTTCGTTGAATTTGAATTCTCGGATACATCGAGCGATTTGTATAGTCGAAAGTAATTTGAATATTCAGAGACATCGGGTGTGCATGTTAGTGTGCGATTAAGAAAAGTTAAAAATGGAGAATAACGATTGGACTGTGGATTGTACGCATTTATCGCGTACACTGATATAGGAAATATACTAAAAAAAAATGTATGTAACGCGTGTAAAATATATTATATTAATTAATATAATGACGTTAATATATTATTTTGCAAACGTACATATATCTTTGATGTATGTTTAGCATATTGACATATTCTCTTATACCAGAAATGCATAAAATCTGTAGTTTAATAATGATGAATGAAACACGTGGAGAAGAATGATAAATGGAAGCAAACGATGACGAATTAAGAAAAAATGATAAATGGAGGAAAACGTGAACGAGGTAAGAAACGATTTCGATGAAGAAATAAAATCGTGTTGGAAGGCAGCGTTTCCGAGTAACGGACGAATAAAATATATTACGAACAGCGGGCAATTTTTCAGTTTAAAACAAGCAACGGCCGTTTCGGAGGAGCACGGATTTTCGGAGGTGATTTCTGAGAATATATTTTAAGAATAAAGTAAATTTCGAAAGCCGAACAATCCCGTTACGTTCACCGTGGGATTACGTTATTTCTGTCCTTGATCGTAATAATAGAAGCTTCGCTAGTTTTTCAATATTTAAAAATGTATACGTCTCGGCGATTCAGATATACAAAAGTTCCAGTTAACACTCCACCTTCCCGACATTTTATTTGTTCCTACTTCTACCAAAATCGATCGAATGACTGATCTTGAAGGGACTTTCTTCAATTGAATGCAAAAACACATCACGTGGTTCTGAACGCAATAATACACGAAACAATTCTATGTAATTTCTATATTGTATAAAAGACCTGCGCGTAAAAATTTGAAAACAGTCATTTAACCAGTCGTGATACGCGTTAACCCTTCATTTACTGACGGGACTTCTAAGTTACGTCAATTTTCTCGTGCTACTGTATTAATTAAACGCTTCGAAACCTATTGTGACTTTCGAGTCCACTTCTATAAAGTGCGTTTCTAATTATTGGATGACAGCACAAGCTTCTTTTTCTTTCGGAAGCTTGTTCGAGACAACTCTATAAGATGATATAAGACCAACATGGACGCCTAGATTTTAAAAACTTTTTAGAGATTCAATAAATAAAGGGTTAATGTCAAAACTCGTCCCTGAAGAAGTTAAAGTTTCTTTTTCTGTATCCAGTTTTGGCAACTTAGCAGGCGTTTGCTCCCGTCATCCCTTGTGGAACGGTTTATCGCGTTCGAGGAGCTTTTGTTCGAGGTCGATTCGAGGAACTCGCGACGTTCGTCGTCGGAAGCGGCGCGTTAGAGGAAATACCGCATCCTCGATGAGGCATCGAGTGACAAATGGATGCGCGAATCCTCTCCTCCTCCCTGTCTCTCGAGCTGACCGATCAGCGGTGCAGCCGAGGTCCGCGTTCCTCTCCTATCTCTCGTTCCCTTTGATCGTCTTCCCGCCACTTCCCAGGCCTGCTCTTTGCTCGACGAGGGGACACGCGCGCGATTGGTGTCTCTGCGGAGCGCGGATTACGCGGAAACTCGCCGCAGGCTTTGTAATCGTCCTTCCTGGAAGAAAGAACGAGGATCCGAACGAGGGAACGATCGAGCTCGATTCCCGACAGCGCTCGAGAGACATGCGGCGATAGAAGTGCAGTAAAGTCTCCTTAAACGCACGAATTTCCCTACGATACATGTATTAGGTTGTCCGAAAAGTTTCTTTCGCGTGTCGCATTCAATTATTTTCTGTGCCAGTGTTTCTATAAATAGACAATCTAATTTCTTAGACATTGATGCTGTAACGGTAACGAAGCGAAATGAATCGTGCACAATTCAGTAATGTAACATAAAACATACAATATCGTGTATATATTAATTATTAATAAAACGAAAGAAACTTTTCGGACGACCTAGTACAAAAACCATCCCCACCACTGAGGAGTATACCCCTTGAGGGGTCCAAGAGTTCGATCGCCGAGTAGTTTAACCCTTAAATGGACAATGTTGTTTTTAAACAACATACTAAACATCACAGATAAAATTGACCTTCTTTTATTTCTTTTGTAATTTTGACAACTAGGAAAAAAAAAATCGTCCATTTAAGGGTTAACACGATTCGGTATCGGATACCTCGGTGAGACAACGCTAATGGAACAATAACATTTTCTTTATTGTCCTGGTGTTATCTCTCCGTTCTCTTCTTTATTCGCCGTTCTTCTTTATATTCGAAGCTGGTCGGCAAACATAAAAAAATATACGAACTCTACTCGTACTAGAAGTTTGCCTCTCTACAGCACCAACAATATATTGAAAATTGTCACATCTCACGTCAGTGGCAAAGTCTGCGTCACTCGTGATTCGAGGCACTGTGTCACGAGTGCCCAATGACCCCTGCGTCATCCCAGCCACTGTGTCCTCCATAAAACTCTATGATAATTACGGGACTCGGTTCAACGTGGATTCTTGTCGCCCACCCACGGCCTTACGTCATTTCAACAGTGTCAAATGTAGCGTGTCTGTTTAATCGAGTGACTTCTCATATGGAGAGTCTGCGTCATTTGTTTCTATAAACACTGCGTTACTCTGCGTGAAATCACCCTGGAGCTCTAGGTAAACATTTCTGGACTCGATTGTATTAGGTTTTCCGAAAAGTTTCTTTCGCTTTATTAATAAGTAATACATGGACGATATTTTATGTTTTATGTTACATTACTGAAATGTGCACGATTCATTTTGCTCCGTTACTGTTACAACATGAATATCTATGAAAGTAGATTGTCTATTTATATAAACACGACCACAGAAAATAATTGAGTGCAACTCGCGATAGAAACTTTCGGGACAACCTAATAGATGAATCCTTGGCATCTTTCCATAACCGTATATTATTTAAACGTGCCTTTAAGCGAATAAGCGACAATTCTTCCGAGTTTGATTTCTCTGTTAGAACCCACTGGCCTCTTAAAAGCTCGGGCACCTCGGGATCGCTAAACCCGTACTGTAACTGCTATCAAGCATAGCTACAGCCCCTGAGAGCGAATCAATGACTGATTTACCACGCTCCCCTGTAGGATAAAAAACAACAGATGTAACAGTTAACTAGAATCCAGCAGATACTTACAAACCATCAAACTTCCCTTGATAGATCATACCTCCATATCCTAAAAAAAAAAGAATCATTGCAAACTTAGCCACTCGCCCAGAACGATCGAAGGATCTCACGTCACAAGGTTAACTAACTACTCGTTTGAAACTCAACCGAAGCAGCTTAATTCCTTTTAGGGTTACAGCCCCCGAGGGTTCTGCACTAGAGGCATGCAAGATCGCCCAAGTCCCGGGATCTTGAACTTCTTCATGTAACGGGAAGTTCGAAGAGGACAGTTGATGGCAGGACTTATTTGTTAGATAAATAATTAATATATAACTTGTATATAGAACAAAGTTAAAGTACCTAATACATACGTTTAACAACATTATCAGAGTGAACATAATCTATCACCATGTCTTAAAGATATTAATTACTTATCTCACAAATAAGTCATCAACTATCCTCTTCGAACTTCCCGTTCCATCAAGAAGTACGGGATTCGAGCACCGTTTGAATCGCGGGATCCCGAGCCAATCGAATGTATCGGGATCTCGACCGAACTTTTCCGTCCCATCCCGATCCCGTAACTCTCGGGATCCCGCACAACTCTATTCTGCACACGTCCTATGAGCGACGCTTGAACGTGCAAAGAGCGTAAGCGCGAATCAGGCTTTACTGCTCGTCTCGATCCCCCCTCCCTGGGAAGGAAACAATTCTCTGGTGGTCAGGGACTCGTGAACCGTTCTCGCGTCTCCTCGAACGGCCTGCCACCGCCTCCGGAAGCAATTGATTGCGAGCGCCGCTAATTAGTTTACCATGCCGATAAAGGCTGCCTCTTTGCCTCGCCTACTAAATAGGAACGCACGCTCGATTCGACTCCGTTCGTCTCTCCCCGCTGCCCTCCCTCGCGCATGTTTGCCCCCCGCGCGTCTACTGGGCTAAGGCAGGATACGTCGTTTCCGGAAACACGATCAAGATTACGCTCGAACCGTACGCCGCAACCTTCTTCCTTTTTCGCTCGAGATTGCGCGGCCTCGAAAACACCGCGCGGAAAAGAGGTTTGTTTCGATTTAATTTGGATGACCCAGTCAACAAAACGATTCGATTTCCAGATCTGATCTAGACCTAGTTGTTCTTAGTGGAGACACTAAGGGTTGAGAGATTTATCTTTCAGGCGAGGGAAACTTTCAATTTGCAGGTCTCCCTTCGAGCAAGGCGAAACGTGTGCAGAAGACACTCTTACTCGCTAAATGGAGATGCGCAGCTTTCAATACACCACCATCACAAGCCGTTTATATTGCACGATATGCTCAGTTGGGGATGCCACGAGGCTGAGTCTCGAAAATTCAGCTTATTCGACACGAATATCTATTTATTCGTAACTGAAGAATTATCGAACGCTGAACCTTTCAATTTCTGGGACGATGGTTTAGACATCGAGTGGTTTACTATATTTGCTCAGCAAGACTTTGATTTAAATCCAAAAAATATAGGCAATAAAGGCCAATAAAGGCAAAAGGTGTGCAGAAGACACTTTTACTCACTAAATGGAGGTGCGCAGCTTCCAATACACCACCACCACAAGCCTTTTATTGCACGATATGCTCAGTTGGGGATGCCACGAGGATCTTTAAATTTCTAGGACGATGGTTTAAACATCGAGTGGTTTACTATGTTTACTCAGCAAGACTTTGATTTAAATCCAGCCCAGGTTCTGCTACATGCCCATCGAAGGTCTTCAAGGACTTGGTCTTTCGATGCCGAGCGATGAGGAAGCTTCTAGCGTAGCAACATTGCGTCCAGCAGCCATCAACGTCGAGGTTTGGTTATCGTGGGCAGGCAGCGTTTCGGGATAGGTATACTTCTCGTCGGCGCGTATGATTTAAAAGCGGACCACCTTGCTAAATTCTCCATCTCCGGGACCACCAATGGAGATTCTTTCGGGGAGGACTAAGTCACCGTGAGAGCGGTAATCGGGGATAACGAGCCCGGGGAACAGGGGGTCAGAGGCGCGCGCGGTTAGAATCCTCTCAGGACGCTCGTTCCGACCAATTACCTCTCTCCTCGACTCCTACCCTAAATACCTATTACCTCTCTTCTTCGGAGGTCGATATCCAACAGGTCCAGTCCGCTCTGGACGATCGGACCATCGAAACCCTGGGAATCGAGCCGCGTTTTCGACTTTTCGTCTACCTGACGAACATCCTCGCCTGCTGGACGGTTCATCGTTGCGGGAAGTAGGTACATCGCGCGGGAGGTTCCTTTCGTCGCGCCTAATCGATGGTAATGCCTATGGTAACCGCGGACACGCTCCCACCTCGATCCCCCTCTCTCGATAGCTTTGGATATTAGGTAGATTAGGCGTTCCTGGGATACACTTATCCTGTACATTATTTTAGGAACTGGTCATCTTTGATAAAATAATTTTTTCTTTAACACGTTGACTGCCACGGATTCACATGGAAATGTTTACAGAACTAAAATTTTGTCTCGAGACAATTAGAAACTGTAGAATCTAACATTTGTCGTATTACTGATTTTTGTATTCTCGTCAAAATTTACGAATTCTATTCAGATCAGTTTTCATCAACGCTTAGCCCTTGAAATCATTTGTTGCAGTTCCTTGGCGAAAAGCTCCGCCACTCGTATGTGGATGACGCGGCGTTCAACGTGTTAAATGATTTGTTTAAGACCGTATGAACGTCTAGGTTATTAGCAATCACATTTGGCAGAGCAACTATGTACCTCCAACAGATGTCTAAAATACGTTGACGATAATACGCGGATATATGGGCTTGGGTGAGTGTGACCAAACAAAATCCATATATATGTATATTAGGTTGTCGCCGAAAGTTTCTTTCGCAAGTTGCACTCGATTATTTTATATGGTCGTGTTTATATAAATAGACAATCTAATTTCATAGATATTCATGTTGTAACAGTAACGGAGCAAAATGAATCGTGCACAATTCAGTAATGTAACATAAAACATAAAATATTCTGCATGTATTGCTTATTAATAAAGCGAAAGAAACTTTTCGGACAACCTAATATATACACTAATGATATAAATAGGTAATAACAATAAAAGTAACGAAAGAATAAAGTAATACGTTGAACACGAGCATATATGTGTAACAATAAACGAATTAAAAAAGAAAGCAAGTGGGTTAATAAGACAATAGTTTCATGGGATCCTGTCCGAATGTAATAAATGATCAACCCATCTCCGTTTATCTACCTGTTGCTGGCGATCAGCGCGAATACCATCGAAAAATTCCTGTTGTCAAAAGAAGGAAAAAAAAAACGAGGCTCGTCCTAACGGATCCATAAATCATCCGTAAGTGCGGACGGACGGGGACTCGACAACTTCATAGATTCGACGAAAATCGTTAAACCGACCACGAGGGTCGGAACGATGAACGAAGAGATAGCCAAGACTCGCGCTAATGACTGGCTTCCGCGACCCTCGCAAAATTTACAGCCTGTCTCTCGCTCGAGCTGGTGCTCGAGACTGCGCGGCGAGCAGCGAGTACGTTGTGCCTTGGAAGCTGTTGCAAATTTTGTCAGAAGTTCTACAATTTCAAATTCGAATGGTAATGTTACGTTACGTAATGGTAATGGTATGTTCCTTCTCTAGGCAGAGTGGTTAATAGTCCTGAATAACAATATAGGTGATTGATAAGCCTTGAGCAAGGACAGTTTGTTTTCCAATGATACTGCTGACGACGAATTAAATAAGGGAATTTGTTTATTTTTCTAGGAAAAAATTGTATCGTGTCCTAAGAAGTCACATTTATATGTTATCTATATATTATTTATATATAAATAATTTTACTAAATTTCATTCCTGTATACAACGAATAAGGTGTCGATAAGAGATTGTCGTTTGGTTTGAAACGACAGGTAGTGCGACAAGACAATGTTTTTCTCAAGGTCACCGTTTTCGAGACACGATTCACGATCGGTTCGTCGCGAGAAGCAATAACGACGGCCAAGGTGTCGAAGGTGTAAGGCTGCGCGGTCGATACTCCAAAAATAGATTCGCGATAGCTCGAGTTTAGAGATAGGACGCGACCGTCTCGCTTCGTGGATTCGACCGCTCGACCGTCCACGCTCGTTTCGCGCGAATGTCTGTTCAGCGTTCCCGGTTCGTTTATTTTGCCAATTCAAACAAATTCGCGTCCCATAAGCTTCACGACGTACGCCTGGAACGTTTCCCTCGCTATCGGCGTGGTTCCTCTCAGGCGAACTGACAATTCCATTCAATTAAACTTTAGTTTACTTCTTTCGTACGTGCTTCATCGCATTTTTAAACGAATTTCCGCTAAAACTAATTCGCAATCGACAAATCTCTTCAATTGTGAATGAAGGTTATTTGCTATTGAAGAAAAATTGTATTAGGCGTGGAAATTAATTCTGTGCCTTTCTAAGGTTAATTTACGACCTATCAGGTCGAGAACGTAGAAGGTTTGTATCTAAAGACACAGAATTCATGTCTACACCCTAATCATTTACGTATATATCTACAATTACAATTAAAGTTACTTGCAATTGACGTCTAACTTTTCATTTAACTCTTTGCGCCACAGGAATTCAGATCATAAAATAGACACCCATGTTGCACAGGAATTTTATTGCGTTTTAAATCAAACAAAATTGTTACATTTTTATTAATAAAGGTGTCGCACCTATACACATGCAGCTATTGCAAAACTTCGAGGTGGGATTAAAAGTGTCCCACCATGCGTTACGGTTCATCAAAAAGGTGGGGGCACTTTTAATCCCACCGTGCCCCAAAGAGTTAGAATTCAAGTTAATTGCAAACGAAGGTTGATTGCATTTACGTGTTAATGTGAATCATAGTCAACTACGAATAAATGCCAATTGCAATTAGTACCTGTATTTTCACTTGTTAGTATCGCGGTTAACTGCGAGTAATTTTTCACCTAATCTGATCATTGATTAAAAATGGAGTTGCTCGGTAACCAACACTGGTTCTAATCAGAAAGCCACAGAAACGCTACGGAACGTTCCGTTGGAGCGCTTCCGCAGCTTCTCTCTCCTCTCGCGGCCACTGGAAAAGTTTTTCTCCCGTTCGCACGCAACGACCGCTTCGCGAGCTCCCCTTTCTCCCTTTACGATTCTCTCTCTCTCTCTCTCTCTCTCTCTCTCTCTCTCTCTCTCTCTCTCTCTCTCTCTC